TAACCGAATGAGCCAGCCAGGCACCTTGCTTAGCTGATTGCTGGTGCGCATCACATTCCGGCTTAGTATCTATTCAATAATGTGGTGTAATAAATCTATCTGGTCTTGGTCCCTGGTGCCCTGTTGCTGGCACAGAGCGCCTACAACCCTTGTTATCTCCTGAGTGACAGGAGTACCTTGTGTCATTCCTAAGGAGCCCCCTTTGGAGCCCACCTGAATTTATGCTAAAGAGGTGTGTTAGGGTGCGGGCCCTAAGCAGAATCAGCGTGGGGCGTGGCCATCAGAAAGGGCGGGGATTAGAGGCTTGGAACTCACAGCCCCACCCACTGGCCACCAGGAAGGGGCTGGAGCTGGAGCTGAAAGCTCTGTAAATACTCCCGAACACGGACAGCTGAGGAGCCCCCAGGTCTGTGAACACGCCTGGGGGTGGCACACTGAGGTTCCCTGAGGACAGAAGCTCCTGCACTGGAGGCCCTTCTGCACCTCACCCCATGTTCTTCTTCATCGGCCTGTGAACGTACTTCCCAGGGTTCCGTGAACCACCCCAGCAAGGTAATGGAGTGAGAGCAAGGGTTGGGAGCCTCTGGTTTATAGCCAGTCAGTCTGAAGCACAGGGGGCAACCTGGATTTGTGCCTGGCATGCGAAGGGGACAGTCATCCTGTGGGACTGAGCCTTTACCCCGGGCGATGGGATGCTGTCTCCGGGTGGTCAGAGGCAGAATTAACTGCATGGTGGTGCTGGTGAGCACACGTCTCCAATAGTCAAGTGTGGAGAGGACCCACGGGGGGAGGAAGATTCCGTTCCACATCCCGACAGTCACCACCACACACGCCTGCGGGGACAAACCTCATCACCTGTCTCCTCACTAGCTAGTGTGCAGGATTGTGGGCGCGGGTAGTCAGCTGTCTCGGACAGCCTCCGAGACTCGATAAGCGGCGCCCAGGACGCGGCAAGCTCTAATGAACAAGGGCCTCAGCCAACAGTAACAAGGCAAGTGGGACCCGTGGGTTAACAGACATGTGAGACAGCTACTGTAGGGCGTTGGGAAACAGTCTGGATCTTAACTGCAATACACATGGCTTAAGAAACAACATTTGTGAGCCAAATTGAGAAAATGGAGCATTAATAACATTTGTCATATGTTAAAATAGTTGTTTATTTAGGGGCGAGAAAGCACCACTGCACATGGGAAAGCAGGGTGGGGGGGCAGTGGGGGTGAGGGAGGCTGGGGCAGAGGGGAGTGAGAGAGAGAATCTTAAGCAGGCTCCACGCTCAGGGCAGAGCCCAACACCAGGCTCGCTGGGTTCAGTCTCAACCATGAGATCGTGACCTGAGCCCAAACCAGCAGTTGGAACTTGGAACCGACTGAGACACCCAGGCGCCCCTTCTGCAGCAGACTGACTTGCAGCCCACAAAAGTGGAAACACGTAAAATATCCATGAACAGATGAATAAGTAAATAAATAGTGCTATATGGATATCTCATAGATACAGTGAACTGTTCGTATAAGCACCACTGATGAACTAAAATAAATGTGTCTCACGAGGGGACCCAAGGAAAAGGAGGACACAACACTTCACAACTTCGATCATACAAATTCTAGAAAGTGCAAACTCATTGATTATAATGAAAAGACAATGGCCGCCTCGAGGACAGATTATTAAAGAACACAAAGGAAAAGTGGGGGTGATGGAAAACTTTATTATCATGACTGATGGCCTCCTGGGCTTATGTGAAAGTCAGTGTCAAACTGCACAATTTAATGATGGACATTGCGTGTCATTTGTACCTTACTGAAACTTAACAACACGGTTCAAATTAAGTTGGGTTCTCTACGCTTTAGAAGATTAGGTCTGGCCACCATACGGACTCCACCATCTTTCTCCTCATCAGAAGACATCTGTACAAACAGGTGAGCAATGAAGGCATTCCCAGTTCATTCAACATGGATACTGGCTGAGTCACAAAGACCTCATGGCTGCACCAAGAGATCTCTCCCGTCTCTGTCCTTGCTTCGCTGCCATGCACAACCATGGCCTTTGGTGGACAACGCAGAGGGACCAAGGAATCCACAAAACCTATAGCGTACTTTCACCTGACAGGCCCTACACAAGATACATCCATCTGGGGGTCCTGAGAATTTCTCTACCCGCTCATCCTTCACAGTCCTCCCACCTAAACACTGTGCATGCCTTTTCCAAACAGGTACACTGCAACCTGTTTATTGGTCTCCTGCACTCTCTATTAATCCAGTGTTTCTGGACCAACGGTCATTCCCCTGGTCCTTATAATCTTTTTTTTTTTTTTTAAGATTTTATTTATTTTTTTGTCCGAGAGAGAGAACGAGCCAGCACAGGCAACAGAATGGCAGGCAGAGGCTGAGGGAGAAGCAGGCTCCCCACCAAGCAAGGAGCCCGATGTGGGAGTCGATCCCAGGACGCTGGGGTCATGACCTGAGCCAAAAGCAGCCACTTAACCAACTGAGCCACCCAGGTGTCCCTAGTCTTTATAATCTTAAAATCAGTGACATTACGCTACAGAATTCAGGGGATCAAGGCCCCTGGCGCTGCTGCTGGGCCTGGAGAATAGACCTCCTTCACCATCAATAGCCCCTGTGAATAAGAGGACAAGACCATTTGCTCAAAAGCACTAAAGGCTGTGAAACAACAACCAACAACAGCCCCTACTTCAGGCTGAAACAGCTCCCACTTCAGGGTGACCCCACAAAACATCCTGGCATCCAGCTATAACTCAGGACCACGGAGCCCTGCAGTCTTTCCTTAAAGGCTTGGAGCAGCCATGCAAACTAGGTCAAAGCTGCGGAGCTGTCTTCTGCCATCATACAGTCCCTTCTGAGGCACACAACTCTCTTCACCCCTCCATGCCCACAAACACAGTTAATTTCAACACACACAGAGTGAACAGAATCCCCAAGATTAATGGTGGCTTAAAAAATATGATCTTTATTGTCGTACAGCAAGAGCAGTGGGAGGCAGACTGTTCCTGGGTTGGTGATTTGGAGGCTGGGGAAATGCCTTCAGAGTTTCACAAGGATGATACATCCCTGATATGCCATCCTCCTTTTCAAATCACCAACAGTCCTCTAGGACAAAACTGGGCGAGATCCATGCCCTCTCCTCAGAGAAGAAAAATGGGGAAGGAGTAAGTGCCCAGGCTGCTCATTAGTCCTCCAGCAATTGCCCCGACACTGGGAAACGGCCCTGGGCAGGTTCAAAGACTGCAGTGCAGCTGCTACATACCTGGGATTTATGTCGATGTTTGAATGTATGAACGTCAACACAGGCAAATGGCACCTTCATGAGGGATTTCCTCCAGTGCTATTACTCTCATCAAATAAATACCTGCACGGTTAAGGTAGTTGTCCCATTTGAAATTTGTGAACTCCTATGACGTCAAGTCCTTCAGTAGAAGGCTTTCTCACTTTCAAGGCTTTTGTAAGGGCTTTCATGACTGTGAGTTCTCTGGAGTGTGGTGAGGTTAGCCTTTGGTTAGCCATTTTCCACATTCTCCACACTCGCGGGCCTTCATCGAGGGGGACACTGTCATGTTTTAGGAGTTAGGACTCATAGGGAAAGAATATCCCACATTCAGATACTCATAGAGCCGTTTCAATGTGAATATTTGAATGGTCACTGAAATGGAAGACCCAGTGAACGTTTCAAAGTCACTGTCCTCCTAAAGCCTTTCTCCAGCGTGTACTTTCTGTGCTTAATGAGGCTAGAACTATGGCTAAAGGAGTTTAGTGTGCCTTCCCCCTACTGCAAGTTCCCATTGTCCCTGCATCTCTGGAAATGCTCCTGAATAAAGTCTTCACTACTCTTTCAACGAGTGTATTAGTAATTTTTCTTTCTTTTTTTTTTGACGATTTTATTCATTTATTTGAGATAGAGCGTCTGTGTGTGGGCTGACTCCCTCCTGAGCTGCAAGCCAGACAGTCTGGATCCCAAGACCCTAAGATCATTACCTGAGCTGAAGGCAGACGCCTAACTGACTGAGCCACCCAGGCGACCCAATAATTTTTCTTTAACAGATCTTTGTATTTTGAAGAAAACATCTGCCTTAGAGTCAACTATTCTGTCCCATTCACTGAGAAACACTTTATCCATTTAACGCCTTACTTGATATCCAGATTACATTCAGTTCCTTTTAGGAATATAACATTATTCTTAAAAAGACATCAATGAGAAAAGTGCTATTTTGGTGTGGTACAGTGGCTGCAGTGTTCCAAGCTGAAGCATGTACGCCAAGAGTCTTTCTACCTGGAAATACTGGGAAAAGCTTAAATTTATTGTTCCACTGCTGCAAACTGCTTGTTATTTCGAGATGATCCATGGACTGTTTTTTTTTTTTTTTTTAGGATTTTATTTGTTTGACACAGATCACAAGTAGCCAGAGAGGCAGGCAGATTGAGGGGAGAAGCAAGCTTCCTGCTGAGCAGGGAGCCAGTTATGGGGCTCGATCCCAGGACCCTGAGATCATGACCTGAGCTGAAAGCAGAGGCTTAACCCACTGAGCAACCCACGTGTCCCTGGACTATTGTACTTGAAGAATTGATATAATCTCAGGAAAACAGTTGTAAAATTCCAATGTTTATGTAGTGCTTCTAAGTTGGTGGCAGAAAGAACTTTGGTGGGGCACCTGGGTTGTCAGGGGTTAAGAATCTGCCTTCCGCTCAGGTCATGATCCCAGGATCCTGGGATCCAGCCCTGCATCGGGTTCCTTACCGGGTGGGAAACCTACGTCTCCCTCTCGCAGTCTCCCTGCTTGCATTCCCTTTCTCACTATCTCTCTGTCAAATAAATAACTAAAATCTAAAATAATAATAATAACTTCGGTGAAACATCTGTAGAAGGTAAGAAAATATAAGACCTCAGAGACATTTTAGCAGTGATGGCTGAGAACACGCCCGAACAAGCTGCGGATATGACCAGGATGATCAATCTGAAATTTTGTCTCCAAAATACAAATCTCCATTTTTGTAAAGTCTGAGCAATAACCTCATGGAAAAAGAGTTAAAGGGGACATTTAGAGTACCCAGAAGTATACAATTTGTAGGGAAATAGAAATGTGTTTATTTTTGGTCTTCCTGATGATCAGTGAACAAAAATTTGGTTTTAGGCGCTTATTCTAGGTGCATGGAGGACTTTGGGTCCTAAGAGAGACAAAGACCCTTGCATTCTGGGACTCATGTTGTTTTGAAGAAAGAAAGACCAGGAATCAAAAAGAGTAACTGAAGAAATATGTCCTATGCCAGAAAGTGGCAGACAAAGTGGAAGGAAAGACAAGGTGAGTCTCCTGAGAGGTAAGTATAGAATGTAATAATACTCAGCCCAATAAGGGGGCCTCTTTAGTAAGAGGAGAAAACAGTTGAAATTAAGGGGCGAGCCTCATGGATATGTTTGCAGTGAGCTCTGGGAGTATAAAGCAGTTGTTTAGGTTATTCCGTCAGTGCAGGCATAACGGGTCTCAGCAGTGGACGTCCTGGGACTCAAGGCCAGTTGGCCTTTCCTTTTCTTGGCTCAGTACAGATAACACTCAGGGCATGCGTGTGAGAAATCCTGGCTCTGTTTCTCAGAACCTGCAAATCACCGCAGTGGACTGGGTGGGGCCTGGGACCAGTCAACCTCACCTTTCCTAGAATTCTGATTTTCACAGTTTGATCCCTGGACCTTCGACCACAGTGTCACCTATGGAGTTTTGAAATGCACATTCTGAATCCCAGACCCAGATATACCGAATCGCACACTTTGTGGATCAGGTCCAAGTATCTGTTTTAACAAGCTTCCACGTGATTCTGAGACTTATGTAAGAAATTTCCACCATTCTGCCGTGTTGTACAGAAACGTGTACCTGCATTTCTTGTGATTAAAAGACATTCTGTCTAAATCTGTAGGGATTTTTTTTTAGATTTTATTTATTTATTTGGCACAGAGAGAGAGAGAGAGAGAGAGAGATCACAAGCAGGAAGACAGAGAGGGAGGGAGAAGCGGGCCCCCCACTGAGCAGAGAGCCCGATGTGGGGCTCGATCCCAGGACCCTGAGATCATGACCTGAGCCAAAGGCAGAGGCTTAACCCACTGAGCCACCCAGGTGACCCTATTTTTCAGATTTTAAGTCTTATGAGATAGAACAAACCTCTGTGGGACCAGATGAAAGAGCACCCAAAGTATGTAGCATCTGTTAAGATGACTTCATGGGCTCCCAGTCAATAGCATCCACCTCCAGAGATCCTTCCTCCCATCAGGGAGTTCAGGAGTTTGAGTATTAGCTCCCTGTTCTCCTTGGTGGTGCCGCACCAATAAGTAGACAATTTTTCCTCACTTTGGAAGCTGGGGGTCAGTCCTTTATTAGCTTGGTATGCATCTGGCAGGTGAACTATCCTTTGATTGAGCTATACTCTCTTATGGACACAGCATTGAGGCAGAGCACTCAGGATACAGTGAGTATGATGTGGACCTTGTTTCTGCTTTCTGGACTGTAAGGAGCGCACCAAGACTGAACAGCACCCCAACCATAGGGATCTGGAACCTGAGGTTTGTGTTAGTGTTACCAGTCTCCTGGCCTTAATACCTTTAATACCTGGCCGAGTTCTCAGTACAGGAGACCTCTAGGAGTGACCAGGTAGACAAGGGACTAACCTAGAAGTCTCCGCAGAGTTTTGTATGGGTTTGGAGGAAGGACCTTGGGGGCAAATAGGAGAGATATTAACTGGACCAGTTGGGCAGCTATGGAGCAGGGCAGTGAAATGTGCAGCATCTTTAAAAAGAGTCAGGTTGGGACGCCTGGGTGGCTCAGTTGGTTAAGCAGCTGCCTTCGGCTCGGGTCATGATCCCAGCGTCCTGGGATCGAGTCCCACATTGGGCTCCTTGCTCTGCAGGGAGCCTGCTTCTCCCTCTGCCTCTGCCTGCCATTCTGTCTGCCTGTGCTCTCTCTCTCTCTCTCTCTCATAAATAAATAAAATCTTTAAAAAAAAATAAAATAAAAAGAGTCAGGTTTAGGTCTAATACGTGTGGATATAAAAAATGAGGAAGTGGCTTTAGGCTGTCCAAGATATGTAGTTAAGTGAGAAAAGCATAGTACAGATCTGTATACAGAGCATGTCTTCATTTTTACCACAAACAACTTTTCTAGAAACCAATTTGAATTCAGGACCCAGACAGAATGACACACACGTGTGCAGACACAATTCTAAAAGGATAACACTATACACTAAGCCTCAGCTTCTCTGTGTATTTGTATAAGTCTGTCTACTCTGTCTACATTGTTTCTTTCCTCCACTGATACTGCACAATGTTTTCATCAGAGTGACCATTCTGGTCATGTGTTCAAACTAAATATTCCTGTTCTCAGACATCACTGCTAAATCTTCTCTGAGGTCTTAACTCTTCCCCCATCCACTGATGTTCCATCAAAGCTCTGTCTTCCACCACCTCTGAATCACCACATAGTCACTGGTAATAGCTTTCTGTAATTTGCATTTTGCAACTGTAGTTCTGAGGTAATACCGGTTCCCTGTGGAAAACAGTCCCTGCGAGAGAAATGATAATCACTTCCAGACAATGAGATATCCTGGTTTTAAGTACCCCAATTCCTTGGAAAAGGAAAGCAGCCTTTGTATAGATGCTCCATCTTGGAACACTGCAGCCATTGTCGCCTTCCAAAACAACATTTATTACATTATTATTATTATTATTTTGGTGGATGTTAGGTTTCTACAAGGAACTGGGTTTATACTAGGACATAAAGTAAGATATTAAATGGATAAAAGTATTGCTCAATGAATTGGATGCAAAAATTAATGATCAGATTAGAGAGATGTTTTCTATGGGTGCATTTTTTTATTTTTTTAACTCTTGCTTCAGGGTGGCCTCACATTCATCCTGTATCTTCTCTGTTATTGCCCTATACAAAGTATTTCTGCCTTGTCCAGACCAACAAAACTGTCCCTAATGCTACTGGGCGTATTTGACTTGTGGGATGATGACGTTTACGAGGTTCTGCTTCCAGGGACATATTTTGGATCTAAATGACTCTATAGAATGATATGTGCATTTGGATCTGTAGCCTTTGGGATCATATGAAATATTTTTAGCTTTGGAACCACGCTGAGAATCAAGGGGTCTGTAATAATGTCTACAAACACCTGCGTGATCAGTTGCAGGCACCACTTCCCCTCTGGCCTGGGACGGAAGACCCCAATTTCCAGAGCGCTTAAGGGGACGTGCCCTTTCCTCCTAGAGGCCAATGGGAATGTCTTGTCCTCGTCCTGTGCGTCTATGAACTACATTACCCAGAAGAGCGCGCGTCGATGGACTGCACCTCTGACCAATGAAGGTAGGAAAAGTCGTTCTGCGTGTGCGCCTAACGTCGGGGCGGGACTTCCGTCCTCATCCCCCTGGCGGTCTTTTTGCCTCTTTCACGCCTGTTCATCCGCTAATGTTCTGAAGCGTAGGTTCAGGTTCGAGGTGATTAACCGAGAAGGCGCGAGGGGAGGCGCTGTTCCCGCCGCACACAGTTGGGTCCGCGGCAGGCTACACCGCCCGGGCTGCCCCGCGCCGGGACCGGGACGGGGACCGTCGGCCCGGGTGTCCGCTCCGCCCACCGAGTCGGATGGCGGCGGCCGCGCCCAGGGACCCGGCTGAGGTAAGTGCTCGTCCCCCCGGCCCTCCCCGCCGCCCCCCTCCCAGACTTCGAAGGCCCGAGAGCCGGGCGCCTGCTCGCGGCCCTGCGGCCCAGGCCCGGGTGTCCGGGACAGGGAGGCGCCGGCGGGCGGGGGCGTGCGGGAGCGGGCTCCGGGCTGAAGGGCCGCCGGGACGGGGGCTGCAGGGGGCCTGAGGCGGTGGGATTCTGCACTCCGGGGACAGAGCGTGAGGCGGAGCCACGCCTGCGCTGGCGGGCCGAGGTGCGGGACCTTCGTGAGGACTCTGGACGCCAAGGGGACTTTGGCCGAAAGAGGGACCGGATCTCCATTTGGGATTTAAAAGTTTCCCGAAGGTGGTTTAGAGGGAGAGCAGACCGAGGGCAATGAAGAGGACATTGAGGCCCTGGGAGGTTGGATCTTAGTTCAGGCGGCACAGTTGGCAAGAGGGGACACAGCACTGAGGCACAGCTCTCAGCCGCGTGAGGTCACCTGAGGGACGGGTGACGTGAGCCCAGCGACCCCTGCCGTGGACCCGTCCCTCCATTGCCAGCCTCTCTACACGGTTTCCCATTGCGGCAGAGGTGCTGTGGAACTTACACAGGCTGGTGGGGGGTGTCTCAGCCGCCCACCAGGCTGGTGGCCCTGGCCACCACCCGCATATTCTCTGGATTATGATGTCCTGGGGCGCTTAAGGGCCGTTCCCCCAGGCCTGGGTCTGGGGGCCCTAGGGAAATCCCAAACAGAGGGTCCTAAGTCCATCTCAGGCTTTATATAGAAATGATCCCCGGATGCACTAGAAACTTGTTCCAAGATACACATATGTTTACAGGTGACTGAGTGCAGAAAATCACAGGTGTCCTTTCAGGTAGGAGCAAAGAGCAGGGGGCGGGAGTCAAGACTGGAATGACTGAGAGGTTGGTGTGTGTTCTGGAAGTGATGGGAGGTGTGACTCAGAGGGAGAAAGTGATCTTAAGGTCTTAGCAGACTCGGGCTGGCTGCTGAGTGTAGAACAGACAGCGAGACAGAGAGAGGAGGAAGGAGGATCAGGCTGCAGGCTGCTGCCAAAGTCCTGGTGAGAGTTAATGGACTAGAGGTGTGGCTTAGGAAAAGTGGTTGGATTCTGGATGCGTGTTTTAAATGGGCAACTAGGGGGCGTCTGCCTTGGCTCAGGTGGTGATCCCAGGGTGCTGGGATGGAGCCCTGCATCCGGCTCCCTGCTGGGCGGGAAGCCTGCTTCTCCATCTTCTACTCCCCCAGCTTGTGTTTCCTCTCTTCGCTGTGTCTCTCTCTGTCAAATAAATAAAATCTTTTTAAAAAAAGATCAGTAAATGGGCAACTAGATTCTCTGATGAGGGAGGAGTGAATACAGGACTCAGGGATGACTCCATTGTTTGAGGTCTTAGCAGCTGTAGGACTGGAAGGTCCATCATCTAAGATGAAGAATGTGGTAGTAATATTCACTATGGGGAAGGGGTGTTAGGAGCTTTGATTTAGGTATATTGAGAGTTCGGGGTGTTTCAGAGACCACTGAATTGATGCATGATGTGGGCAGTTGTATACATAGTGTGGGAATCTGAGGAAGGTTGAGGTTGGAGGATTCAGGATGTTCCCGATCAGGAGGGGTAATCTTCAGGTTATTATTATAAAGCTAATAGGGGACCAGGCAGGGGAGGATGGGGACTGTGGACTGGGTCTCTTGTCTGGGTACCCGGCTGATGGGTAGAGGCTTCACAAACACAAATGAAGCAGGTATATGGCCCTGAAAGGAGTGTGTGTCAGGGACAGGGTAGTCTGGCAGGTGGCCAAGCTTCCAACGCAAGAGTGGGCGCGAATGAGGTAGACACAGAGGCAAGGGATAACCAAGGCGAGATGTCATGCGGACCAGAGTGGGTCTCTGCACCGCTCTGTGCACTCACCAGGATTTTGTGAGGGCTTTGTTGGGGCCTGGGCTGTTTCGTTCAGCCAGGAAGATAAGGTCAAGGGCAAATGTGGTCATTTGTGAGAGTCATTAAGGCCTGGGGTGAACTATCAGGGGAGCTGGGCTTTGAATGAGGGTTAGGTGGGCAGAGGAAGATTGTGACTGCTTTGGGGACGGCAGTGCAGCACCTCATGGAATAGGGCCGTGGGTGTCTGAGATCCATACGTCTGAAGCAAGGAACAGACCCGAGCAGTGAAGGCTTCATAGGAGGATTTGGGGCTGTGATGGCTTGTGGGAGTCTTGGGAAGTCAATGGTCACATTCAATCCCATTTGAATTTGCAGAGCCTCCTGTGGATGCTGTCGTCAGGTTGTGGTGCAAGGTCTAAAACCAAGACCCGATATTATGTGTGGCACTGATGTCTGAAAACCCTGAGGGGCTCAGGTGGCCAGAGTGCTGCTTCTCCCCACTCTTCCCTCAGAACTAAGATCTAACCAAATACTGTTTTTATCAAGGGGCTCAGGGGCCTATCCCTCTTTATTTGGTTTCAGCTCCTTACCTGCCTGTGGAGTTACTCAGATAAGTCAGTGGTATCTTCCCAGGGGAAACGGGTACCTCTTTGTGTCGATATTACAAAGCTTGGATCTCACAACCACCAGCTGTTAACTCTTTCCCAGACTGCCACCCCATGTGGCCCAGTGTGGCGTGTGGTGTCCTTCTCTCCCACGCTGTGAATATATATGGTTAGAAAAGTGCTCTCGATCTCAGGTGGCCAGTGTTAGGTGTTCTGTGTTTGGCCATCCCTGTCACCCTAGCACACAGTCCCTTCTTCACCGTGGGGTGAAGAGGAGGTGATTGAAATAAAGTCATCTATAACTGTAAGGCCAGAGAGTTGCCTAAGGTCTGCAGGGCAATAAGCTGGTGGCAGCCACGGGCAGATGACAGTGTCTGCAACGTGGGGATGTGCCATCTAAGGAATGACGTATACTTGTGGAGGAAGTGTGCCTGATGCCCCAGGACCCTGGACTTGAGAGCTGGGTGGCTTGTCCATACTAGGTGAATTGTGTAGCAGAAATGGGTGAATGCCTCTGTGCCAGACCCTTGTTTGGTACCTTGTTATCCACCTGCCTCATCTTTCTGATGGGTGGTGCCCGTGATCAGTGGGCCTGTGAGGAGACAGTGGCACCACTGGTGCTAGGGCCTGGTTTCTCTTCTGTGTTGGATGCTTAGGAAAGGATGGGTGAGGGGTAGATGTAGAGGGGTTGGATTGTCGCCTTTGAGGGAGAGGCTGTTTATGGTTTCATCTGTCTCCATCTTGCCAGGGTATTGTGACCTTTGAGGACATTGCCGTGTCCTTCTCCTGGGAGGAATGGGATCTTCTTGATGAGGCTCAGAGACACCTGTACCAGGATGTGATGCTGGAGAACTTGGCGCTTATAACCTCCCTGGGTAAGGTCCTCACACCTGCCTCTGTCCCCTGAGCTAGTCTTTCCGTTTCCCTTTTTCCCCAAGGGCTGGTCTGTCCTCCCATCAGGATTGTGGTCTCTGCTTCCTTCTCTACTTCCTTGAATGGCAGTGTTGTTGGCTGGGCTGAGGTATGTGCACTGCCTACTCCTTGAGTAGCCCCAACACCTGCGACTCCCAAGCCTCCCAGGGAAGGAACCAGGGTCAGGAGTGTTCCAGTCAGCCCAGTGGATCCCACTTTGCTGCCCTCTCTCTGGCAGGTGACTTCCAGTTACAAAGCACCCGAGTATCCCAGGTTCCACTTTCTTCCTCCAGCTGACATTTCCTTATTCCTTCTTGGGCCAGAAATTGCCGTCACTGACCATCACGGTTATGTAGACCACCGTCTGTTCTTGCAAGATCCTCCTTGGAAGTTGTCTTTATAATAGTTTTCTTTCCTGTGCGGTGCATGTGCTGAGCTGTTCTTGGCCAGTGCTTATCTTATCTTATCCCTTATCTCTCCCATCTTCCCCTTATTAGCACCTGGATCATCCACGGGCAACATAGCTGCTCATCTCGGGGTTGTGGTGGAGAGTCCGTTGTGGTTCACAGCCCAGCTCCGAACAGTGACACCTAGGGGAGAGCAAGATGTCAGGGCTGTGTGCACATCATGCCAGAAACTTCCTATTTGTGACTGGTCTTTTGTTGGTAATGACTGTGGCCCCCAGACTTCATACCTGCCTTTCCTTCCCCAGTCTTCACACTCAGGTGACTGGTTAACTGCTGGTCATCACTTGTACTCTTTCTTCCCGCCCAGGGCTAATCCGCACCTCTCTGAACTGCACATCTGGACCATTTTAATCACTGCTTCATGTGGGGACTCTCCTCATTGGCTCCTGTGTGTTGTGTCATGAGGTGCACACAGATTCTTGCACACACAGTTTCTCTTTCACTGTCGAATTTTCCTGAGCCTGAACACACCCTTCTATGTGACAGACTATATCCGGTTGAAAGTTATGTGTAGACCTTGTCTCTCCTCAGTGTGTTTATTTCACCTCACAAGTGCCCCTGAGCCCGCATTTTGTGATCATTAGCGGCCCAGTACAGCTAAGCATCTCAGCCTCAGCCTGAACTCAAACCTCCTATCCTATAAACAATTTCATGGACTTGTTTCTGGGTTTGTTAGACACACCTGGGTAGTGGCTGCCTACCCACGAATGTCACCGTGCACTTCACCAGCATTTCCTGCTTTCAGGTTGTTGGCATGGAGCAGAGGATGAGGAGGCACGTTCTGATCAGAGCATTACTGTAGAAAGAGTGTCACAGGTCAGGACTCCCAAGACAGGTCTTTTTCCCCAGAAGGCCAACCCCTGTGAGGTGTGTGGTCTGGTCTTGAAAGACAATTTTCATGCTGCTGAACACCAGGAAACACAATTCAGTGAGAAACTGTACACTGGTGGGACACACGGGAAAAGATTTTATTTCGGTGAAAACCTTCAGCAGCAGCTCAAGCAGCACATGAGCGAAAAGCCCTTCGGAAACCACATAAGAAGAGCTTCAGTGGTCAAGAACTGCAGCTTGCAGGTGTCAGGGAAGCCCTTTATCTGCGGGGAGATTGGGAAGGACTTCTTGGCCACCTCAGGAACCCTCCAGCAACAGGCCACACATTCTGGAGAGAAGTCAAACAATGGAACTGAATGTGGGGCGGCCTTCCACATGGGAAAAACTCAGCACCGCTGGGAAGACAGCACAGAAGCTTTCAGCCACAAGCATACATTCGTTCAACACCAGAGGGTTCGCCCTCGAGAAAGATGTTACATGTGCAGTGAATGTGGGAAATCTTTTAGCCATAACTCTAGCCTTATTAAACACCAGAGAGTTCACACAGGAGAAAGACCTTATGAGTGTGGGGAATGTGGAAAATCCTTTAGCCAGAGCTCCAACCTCTTTCAGCATCGGAGAGTTCATACTGGAGAAAGGCCTTATGAGTGCAGTGAATGTGGGAAATCTTTCAGCCAAAGCTACAGCCTTAATAACCATCGGAAGGTTCACACTGGAGAAAGGCCATTTGAGTGTGGAGAATGTGGCAAATCCTTCAGTCAAAGATCCAACCTCATTCAACATCAGAGAATTCACACTGGAGAAAAGCCCTATGAGTGCAGTGAATGTGGGAAGTCCTTTAATCAAAGCTCTGCTCTCCTGCAGCACCATACCGTTCATACTGGAGAACGGCCCTATGAGTGCAGTGAATGTGGGAAATCCTTTACCTACAATTCCAGTCTTTTAAAACACCAGAAAGTCCACACGGGATCAAAGCCTTATGAGTGCAGTGAATGTAGGAAATCTTTTAGCCAGAATTGCAGTCTTGTTCTCCATCTGAGAGTTCACACTGGAGAAAGGCCTTATGAGTGCAGCAAATGTGGAAAATCTTTTAGCCAAAGCTCTGCACTCCTTAAGCACCAGAGAGTTCACACTGGAGAAAGGCCATATGAGTGCAGTGAGTGTGGGAAGTCCTTTAGGCGAAGCTCCAACTTCAGTGACCATCGGAGAGTTCACACTGGAGAAAGGCCGTATAAGTGTAACCAATGTGGGAAATCCTTCAGTAAGAGCTCTGGCCTCACTCGACACCAGAGAGTTCATAGTGGATTGGGCATTATAAATATGAGTGAGAAAGCCATTAGCCGAAGCCCTTACCTCATTGATTACCACACAGTTCACATGGGAAGTACAACTTAGATATGTACAACATGTATTTTCTTGTTCAGTATAACAACATCGAGGAGATCTCTTTTGAGGGTACCATCTGCCTGAATTGAGCCTCATACATCCAGACATCAAAATAAATTCCAAGTATGTAGAACCGTGTTGCATGTTTCAGCTCAGACCCATGTGAGTTTTTATTACGTTGATTCTGTAGCAGCAGCCGTTCACCTCTCCCCTGCGGGTGCCCGCATTTGTGTCATTTAGCCACAGTGACGTGTTCAACAAAGTAAACCTTAGTGTTTTCCCATTCCCTGGGTAAATGTGAAAAGCCAGGGTACTCATTCTTTTCTCTCTGATTAGTTAGGGCATGGATGCCTCCGTTGTGTTCCAGAGGACTCCATCTGCTGGTGGCCTGAAAAGTCAGCTTTTTTAGGGATATTATTGGTCTGATGACTCTTGTGATGAAATTTGCAGCCTCCAACTCACCAACCAAGGAACAGCCTTCCTCTGTATTCTGGTTTATGTTATAACAAAGGCCTTGTTGTGTAAGTCAACTTTATCTTAAGGATTAGATTCACTTCATGGGGTGGTTTCAGAATGACAGGAGAAACAGGTGCTATGGTCGCCCCAATCTTTGTGTGCATCAAGGGGATGGAAGGATGGTAGTTTTCTCTCTAATTTGGCCCTTGTTTGCATTGTTGCCCAAGGCTTCTTGAAGATTCTATAAGGTTTTATGGTTAGATTGTAGCCTGGATGCAGGATGTTTCGTGGTGTCGGCACTTGCCCTGAAAAGAGGGCAGTTGTAACAACCTCTGATACTTCTGGGGACAACATAGAATTGTTCTCTTGTTTGCAGGGGATATTGCATTGTGCCCAGCACTGGTGCAGGGAATGTTCCTAGGCCCTGCAAGGGAGTGATGTACTCTGAGGCCCAGAATTCTGTGTAGTAGTATCACTGGCTGAAAAATGAAAGGGGGATCATAACTGTACACAAATGGTGGATTAACAGAGAGGCCAAGAGAACACGACAAACTGGTTAGAATGTGCCTCTTTTAAAGGCTGCCTGCTGTTGTTTGGTCAGTATGGCTCTGAAGGATGAGCCAGTACAGAAATTCTCAGATCCTTCTGAACTATGAATCTTGTGTAGATTCTTAGAAAAATCATCTAATGGGGGGCTCCTGGGTGGCTCAGTTGGTTAAGTGTCCGATTCTTGGTTTCGACTCAGGTGAGGATCTCAGGGTTGTAAGATCAGGTCCTGCATACAGATCAAGCCTCAGTGCGGAGCCTGCTTGGGATCCTCTCCCCTCTCCCTGTGCGTCCCCACACATCCACATTCTCTCACTTGCACACCCTCTCTCTAGAAAGAAGTCTAACAGTTTTACAGATTCCTGTAGCTTCTCTGCAATGTGCACCTTAAGGTCATTGCAACACAGGAAGGAAAACAAAGATAGAAGGAAGGAGGATCTCAGTCCAGCAGTGCAGGCTTTACACAGCTTGCTTTCCCGATGACTCAGGTGGACATGGCTTTTGTTGCTTTCCTGTATTTGCTGCCACTGAGGCAAGGTGCTGATCCCAGGGCATTACAAAGGATATGGTGGGGTTTGCCAAACTTTTTTTTGAAAACTTTTTTTATATTGTAATGCCTTTTCAAAATAGTTAATAAATAATAAATTGTCCATGTTTACACTGTTCCATTTGATTATTTTTAACATTCATATAAACCCATGAAACCATCATCACAATCATAGTAGTGTGCATATACGGGGTGCTGTATTCATTTGTGCCCTTTAATTATTATGTCTTTCTCTCTGCCCTCCAGGCAAACATTGATTCACTTTCTTCTACAATAGATTAATATGTATTTTCTGCAATTTTACATGATTGAAAATAAAATGTTTTGGGTTTTTTTCCCCTATGTGTCCTTATGTGGTATATTATTTATTTTGAGATTTGTCAATGGACCTGTGTAATTAGTTCATTCTTTTGATATTGTCAAGAAATGTAATGTTCTGTGGATTAACCACTATTTGTTTATTTACTCGTCTTTTTCAGATATTTGAGTTGTTTCTGGTTTGGGGCATTATCAAACAGTTATTATAGATATTTGATTCTTAAATTTACGATTCTTTATATGGATATGTTTCATTTCTCTTGTGTTAATACCTCAGAGCACAATGCCTGAGTTACAGGGCTGCAATTTTGGGACTGTTTAAATGAGGTCATTCTCAAGAGAACTCTTCCCTGATAGCTTCCTGTGAAAAGATGTGTTAGTTATGGGCTGAATTGTATGTTCCCAAAATGATATGTTGAAGTCCTAATCTCCAGTACCTCAGGATATCACTGAGTTTGGAAATAGGGTTTTTAAAAAGGTAAAATAAAGGCGATACTGTGGACACTAATCCACTGTGACTCGTGTCATTGAGAGGAAATTAGTACGGAGACAGAGGGAAGATCACGTGAAGACAAGAAGAAAATTCCCACCCACAAGCCAAGGAGAGAAGTGTCAGGAGAATTCAGTGCTGTTGACACCCTGATCTCTCATACCTAGCCTCCAAATTTGTGAGAAAATACACTTCTGTTGTTTAAGCCACCCAGTCTGAAGTAGTGTGTTATGGTGGCCTTAGCAAATCTTAGGGGGGCCATCAGCATCTGGGAAGGAGAGGGTCTGCATGGCACCCTAGGGTCAGAGGAAGGAGGTGATTACAATCTGTAGAGTAGTTGGGACCAGAAGGAGACATGGGCTTGGAGTTCATTCCTCCATCCCCACCTTCCACTGGAGTCACAAAGAGAAATTCGCCGTCCAGCCATGTAAATGGAGATCATCACCAGAACCGCCTCTGGGGCTATTTGAGGATGTAAAGAGCTCATGGCCCAGGAAGGGGGCTCAGATGGAGAACTTTTAAGAGTGACAGTTGTCCTAAGGGGTGGGGAGCGGGATCAGCAGTGCCTTTGGAAAGGGGGGCAAAAGACCACTGGGGTGAATATTGGGGTGTTTATACCTGACGGGCCTTGCAGGGGCTGAGGTTGAAGTGAGGGGGCGGGTAAGGTTCCCACCTGGCTCTTCCTGAAGCACTGTTCCCTACTGAACAGTCCCAAGCCAGTGGGGGGACAAATAGGGACTGCACGGCTTGGACCATGCACACATCACCATGGGGCCCTGGATAAGTGGTGGCCACACCTCAAGGGCCCCTTGAACACCTTCAGATGGATTTTATCCAGCTTCTACCCTCCATGGGACTTGAATATGTTTTACTTATTGTATGTCCATTTGCAAAGTGGGTTAAAGCATTTCTTAGCTGAAAAGCTGTGGCTGTTGTAGTCACTGAAAAGCTGATTGATTTTGTTTCCAACCCTGTGTCATCCCACTGTTTACATCTACATTAAGTGGTCATGTCACACTTTGTATAAACTCTATTTTATCACTCACAATCCTCTAGAAAAGTTGAACTGACCACTGCCATTGTTAACATCAGCAGAACTTTCAGAAACCTTTGAGCTCCCCTGGCCAAAGGTATTCTCTCTAGCCCTTATGGCCATGTCATCCACTCACTCATTTATCCCCCTATGAATTACTAAGTGGAAGACTCATGATGTGTCTAGGGATTTCATTTCCAGTACTAGTCCTGCTCTGCTATATGCAGACATAGCAAATGTTATCAGGGACTCATGTACCATACCCAGTCCTATCACTAACTGATTAAGGGCGCCTTCTGAAAACATGCTTTAAAAGAGCCTTTTCATGGGACGCCTGGGTGGCTCAGTGGGTTAAAGCCTCTGCCTTCGGCTCAGGTCATGATCCCAGGGTCCTGGGATCAAGCCTCGCATCGGGCTCTCTGCTCGGCAGGGAGCCTGCTTCCTCCTCCCTCTCTCTCTGCCTGCCTCTCTGCCTCCTTGTGATCTCTATCTGTCAAATAAAATAAATAAAATCTTTTAAAAAAATAAAATAAAGAGCCTTTTCATGATTCTCAACTAGTAAATGCCATTTGTTGGAAGACCTCAGAGAGTAACTGCTCTTGAATCTTATGGGAAGGAGCCTATCAGGGGCTGTTAGCAACAAATAGAGCAGTGAGATTCCAAAAGGTCACGCTGGTTCACAGTTCACAACTAAAGAAATCCAGAATTCCATGCAGTTGGAAGACTAAGGCTACTCATCCAAGACCTCAAACTGAGGATTGTAAGCTGATCTTCAAAAGCAGACAGGTGACCCAAGACCTTTGGAACAGATAACTGCTTCCACTCAATACCTCAGAGCAAGACATTTAAGAAATTACTGTTTGGTTTTTTTAATCTGCTTGTCTGTAATTGTTCCACTTCTCATTTTCTGCAGACCCCTTGTCATTACCACTAATGGCCCTTTTACTCGTTTGTTCCTTCATTTTACAAGGTTAGGTTACATCAGAACATACTCAGTCTAGCACCCTTATTCGATGATCCCTACAGCAGCCACTGCCCTCAATCTTACTTACTGCTGGATACGCCGTTCTTCTGCAGCCCACCCTGATAAAACCTCTGGGCCATGCAGGTTGCATCAGATGAGACCATAGGGAGTTACAGCAGATGGCATTTCCACTTGCACACACATGGACATGGATCTTACATAAATCAATGTGTGACATTGCTAGTGTCCCTCTCTCCCAGAAAAAGAACCGATTATTTCAATCTATTGATCAGACCTCAGGCGATCCTAAGTTTGATTTCAATAATCTTCATAGGGCAATGTGCCCAATACCTACGACCCGGTATCCGTCTCGATAGAGATCCAAAAATGTAACCCAGTCATGTAAGCCCTAGGTTCTGACCTTCTAACAAGATAGACTTCTTTGTTCCCAGATGTCTCTGCCTGTGACAGATAACCACTTCCTTTGTGGTGAGGGCCCACAGGATTCAGATTAACGCCGCAGGTACTTTCGGAATAGTATCTTAAGACTTGTCCATTAAAAAAAAAAAAAAAAAAAAAAAAGACTTGTCCATACATGAGAGACCCTAGTTATATAAATTACCAATTTTGGAAATCCAATCCAAGTGTGATTTCCAACATGAGGTCTGTTCTACTATTCAGCACACTGAGGGAATTAGTGACTCATTTTTTATGTGAACGATGTGAGTAGTGGTCCCATCAGTGGGAATCATACAAATAGAAAAGACTAATAAATCTATCAGTAGCCTTGGCAGAAGTTTTGAATGACACCACTTCTGCCCTAGATGTAGTAAACATTTGTCTCAACTCATTGACACGAGTAGTGATGGACAGTCTCAATGCTCTAGATTTCTTGTTGGCTAGTCATGGTGGAATCTGTGTCATTGCTAATACTTCTTGTCCTTGGATCCATGAAACAGACAAGGGACTATGAATTGCGCCTGCTTTTGTCACAGCGGCCATGATGCTGGTCTGTTTCCAGTGTCAAATGCCTCTATGCAACTGCACTGTTGTGGATGATCACGGTGATGATATAACAATAAAAAGGTCAGGCCAACCTCGCAGTACCACTATGAAGATGAAATGAATCTTGGCGCAGTGAAGATTTGAATTTTGTGTTTTCTCCAAATTGGTCAACTTCTCAGAAGTGAGAGAAAGACCAGGGTGGAGGTGAGAGAATATGGAAATGGACAATGGCCAGACCGTATAGAAAGATAGAACTCAGACCCACAGTCTCTGGTAACCAACCCATGAATCTGCATAACCAGCCCAAGATGCCAGCCATCTAGAAGTGAAACCTGTAGGAAATCATACCATTGTATCTTGCAGCAATTCAGGATGCCAAAGGATGACCCCAGTAATGATGGCACTGAAGAGCCAGGACGTGATTAATAATGGACAGATTTCTTCATTTTTGTCCTTGTTTGCAACATAATACCAACGAGAGAAGGCCAGAAATGTACCCCTAACCAATCATGTAGGATGCATCTCTTCTATTTAGCCCGCCTACAGCTGCCCAATCGAGGCACACCTGAAGTCTTACCTTTTTATTTTTTTTTATAGATTTTATTTATTTATTTATTTGGTAGGCAGAGAGGCAGGCAGAGAGAGAGAGGGGGAAGCAGGCTCCCCACTGAGTAGAGAGCCCGATTTGGGGCTTGATCCCAGGACCCTGGGATCATGACCTGAGCTGAAGGCGGAGGCTTTAACCCACTGAGCCACCC